TTTTATTAAGCCAATACAAGTGATAAATCTTTACAGTGTACAAGAGCATCATCCCACAGCACTTTCTTGAGGCTGTTCTCCTATATATAGGCTCATTATGGTCATCTAGCTGTGAAGTGATGCTTGATGTGGGTGCTTCATAACCGTTTGTTGAGCCGTTTGCTTACCAATCCAGATGTTTGACTTTTGAGCCTCTTCTTTGTATCCCAGGGCTATTTCTATTTCATATTCCACAATGTTAACATGTTATCCTATCAACTAGACTCTAAAGTCTTTGAGACTAGGAACTGAATTTGTTAAATTTCTATCTCTGGTATCAATAATGGACACAGATTAATTGATTAATGTTTATTGAAACAATATATGAAAGCAAATGCTCGGTAATAGTTTGATCCTACTACCAAGACAATCTGGCTTTATCCATTTGTATATTATATTTAGTATCCAGTGTATTAGCATTCCATAAGAGGTACTACGGTTTTAAGCACAGAATGCAGAGATGTTTAACAACCACCTGTCATTCCAGTTCAGGGATCCAACACCTTCTTCCGGCTGCCAGAGGTACTGCATGCATGTGTTGCACAGGTATACATGCAAACAAAATGCCCATGCACATAAAACAGAATGGAAATAAATCTTCAGGGCTGGAGGAGAAGCCTCAGGGGCTGTTCCGCTGTAGGTCCTGGCTTCCATTCCCAGTAGCTACTTTGCTGCTCACAACCATCTCTAATTCCAGTTCCAAGAGATCTGATCCCTTGTTCTGCCCAGCACAGACGCCAGGCATGAGTGTGATACATAGACACACACGCAGGGAAAACACACACACATATAAATGGGAACAAAAAACAAATTTGAAAGAAACAGAGAAGGTTTAGGAATGTCGACTTCTCAGACAGAACATCCAAGTCCTTAGTGACCACTGTAATGAAAACTCAATCGCCCAGGTCATTGTCACTTAGGGCATTTAGGGTAGTAACATCCGATATTTCCTTAGTTTCATAATAATTTCTGGCAATTGGTTTTATTAAAGCTAGTAGAAAGTCTTTCTGAGAAATCTGGGGATTTCCACGTTGACAGTGAATACGAGAACCGTAGGTTCTAAGAGGTCAGTTCTTTTCCTGCCTAGTTTCTACATTAAGTCACACATACAGGAAGCCATATGACTTGAGTTTCTCAATTTGGCTAACCTCAAATCTTTACTGACTTTAAGAGTCATGCATAGGGTTTTTCTAATAGGTAAAAATTCATGTTCAGTTGTAGTTATCTACGGAAATCCTACGGTATGATGCTATCATTTATAAAGACCACACTGATTTATCCGCCTATTTGTGTCCCATAAGAGGTTCTGTGTCTATATCTATATCTTATAAGAGGCACAGACCACAGACTCCACACATAGCGAAGAAAGACCCTGCTAGCCCTCTTCTCTTGGTAGTCCATAAGCAGTGAACCACGCTGGAGAAGAGCCCAGGGCCCGGGAGGTGGCTCAGGGGGGTAAAGTGCTCACCACCAAGACTGAAAACCAAGTTCGATCCCAGAGACCACGTGGAAGAGAGAGCAAAATGATTCCCACAAATGTTCCATGTGTGCTCAGGTACAAATGTACAAATGTGTGTGTGTGTGTGTGTGTGTGTGTGTGTGTGTGAGAGAGAGAGAGAGAGAGAGAGAGAGAGAGAGAGAGAGAGAGAGAGAGAGATGCTCTTTAAAAAAAAACTTGAAGAGGGCTGAGAAAACAATAAGAACATCAGGCCGTAACTGCTTGCCTTCCATTTCCAAAATAAAATGCAATTTTGGAATGTGGGGGGTGCTGGAGACATGGTTCAGAGGGTAAGAGCACCTACTGCTCTTGAAAGGGGTCAGAGTTCGGTCCCTACCACCCACACTGGGAACCCACACTGTTCGGGACCCTTCTCCGTCGATGAAACTGCCCTGCAGACGTGCTCACAAGCCGACCCGATGTTTCAAAGCATTTTCAACGGAGGTCCCTCTTCCCAGGTGACTCTCGTCTCTGTCTAGTAGACAAAAAGCAGTGGGCACACACGGGCAATCTGTAGCCTTGGGAGCGCTCGCTATAATGAAGCAGCAATGTAGGTTATTCTCTGAATTCTGTGAGCCGCTGAAGCAAATGAACTGAACCTGGGGAGATGGCGTTGCGCGAACCGTGAGAACTCCGGTTTGTACCGTGCCCGTACACTGAGAAACCTGAGGGTTTGACTGGCATCTAAGTAGAGAGCCCAGTGTTGGGCTCTGTCACCGTGTTGGTTTCAGAATTTAACTGGGGTGGACACCCGGATGTTGCAGAACTTATGCTGCAGGCGGTTTAGCACAGGCTTTGAGGTCACACGTTTTCTTTGTTTAGTACTCTGTGAGGGAAAACGGGATGTTTGTTTGTTTAGACAAGTTCTAATTGTATAGGCCAGAACTGCCTTCAGTGTTGGGCCAGAAACCAATTTTCTGTTCCAAATTTGTACCTCTGGTGTGTTAACGGTGATCGCCTGGGCCGCGGGTGTCATGTTAAATTTGGCCAGCAGAGGGCAATGAAGGCACATTGCAGAAACAGGGCAGCCGCTTCCTCGTGATTCTATCTGGTGTGTGGCTTTTCTTCTTCCTCCAGCTGCGTGGTGAGTCGGTGTGCAAGCCTGTGAGAACGGCAGTGGTGATCTGTCCCAACCACAGATGCCAGAAAGCATCTTGCGACCTTGCCATCATGGAACGGGTTTGCTGACCTCCCCTGCCAGCCTTCCCCTTGCCCCAGGTGCCCCAGGCCTGAAGCAGCACCGACTCTCATGGAGAAGCTGTACTCCATACCAGTCTCTGCGAGCTACAATACAATTAGTGCGTACAGGGAAATCTATACTTTGGGGTTTATAAGAACCAACGCAGGAGGCCCCGCGGTCAGTCCTCCTGGCGCCGCAAAACAAAAATACTAGGCAAAGAGGCGACCGGAGTATCAAGTTTGAGAAACAGTCAAGAACGTCAGAACAAACGGAGGAAAAGAATGGAACTTACAAAGGCAAACGAGAAAGCCATGTAGCTCGTAGCTTTACTTCCCCTGCATGTCCTCCTTCCTCTCGGCCCTCTCTGGTGTCTCTCCTAGATTCATCTCTTTACTCAGAAGTCCCGCCTAACCTCTTCCCGTCCAGCTATTGGCCACTCAACTCTTTATTAATCCAACCAGAAGGTGCCTTGGCAAAGACACATCTTCGCAGCATACAAAAAGATTATTTCACAACCCAGGCACCAAGCACTAACTACGTGTGTATTTATACACACGTACACGTATGTATACATAGTGAATGGGGCTGGAGAGATGGCTCAGCACTGCCTGCTCTTCCAAAGGTCCCGAGTTCAATTCCCAACAACAGGTGGTGGCTCACAACCATCTGTAATGAGATCTGGTGTCCTCTTGAGGAAGTGATCTGGTCAGTCGTCCTCATCGACTTAGACCATGAGACCCAATATGGACAAGTCTAACAGAACGGCCATACACGGGCTGCCCATGCGTGGTTCAGCATTTTTCATTTCATATATAGTAAATGAGCAAAGTTCAAATTATTAGCCCGAAAGTTTTCTCAAACAATATGATGGTGTCTAAGGGGGGGGGGCAGGGCTGGGGTTCCTTCACTAAGTGCCCTGTGAAACTCGTGGTTTCCTAGTTAAGTACAGAAAAGTATTTTTTTAAATATTTATTTATTTATTATGTATACAATATTCTGTCTTGTGTGTCTGCCTGTAGGCCAGAAGAGGGCACCAGATCTCATTTCAGATGGTTGTGAGCCACCATGTGGTTGCTGGGAATTGAACTCAGGACCTTTGGAAGAGCAGGCAATGCTCTTAACCGCTGAGCCATCTCTCCAGCCCTACAGAAAAGTATTTTATTGTTTGGTTCAGTCCATTTCTTTTTGGTGCTGGGAATGAACACAGGTCCTCCTCCATGTGAGGCAATCACTCTGCTACTGAGTCATATCCCGGTTCAGATAAAGTCCTGTGTACACAAATATTCATGGGGTACAGTTCCCATGAGTTATAGTTCCCATGAATTATAGTTCCCATGAATTATAGTTCCCATGAGTTATAGTTCCCATAAAAAGCAGCACCTGTGGTAGAGATTCCACAAAACCAAAATTGCAGGCCTTTGTGTTCATGGGCAGTCACGATCACTGCAGACCAGAGCCAAATTATCTTGGGATACTTTTGGTTCTTTTGAAAGCCTCTCTCTCTCTCTCGCTCGCTCGCTCGCTCTCGCTCTAGCTCTCTCTCTCCAACTCTCTTGTGACTATACAACTTTTCAGTTGTATTTGAGGGAATGACCCAGGAGGGTAAGGTGCTTGCTGCTTGCTTCAAAGCCTGACTACCTGGGTTCAGTTCCCTGAAGCTATGGAGTAGAAGGACAGAAACAACTGACCCTCACCCCACGCACACAGGAGTACACACACACACCTAAATATAGTTAAAATAAAAATAAACTATTCATAACAAATCACCTATCCAAAGCTAAGGCATCAGGTAGTGTTTAAACCCGTTAGAATTTTCTCTGCTTTGCCGCAGCCAGCCTAACCTGTGGCCTCAAAAACGTATTTGGCAAATGCCTTGATTAGTGACTCTCGCGTTTTTTAATAACTAACAAAACCTCGTGTAAGAACACACAGAGTAGACTGTCATTTGGGAGCAAGCTGAATGTGTTCCCTAACCACGGCCACTCACATTTGTCTCAAGTCTAAACTTTAGATAGAAGCTGTGCTTTTTGACCCGGTGGCACTGTCAAGCAGGGTTCTTCAGGGGCCCCAAGACAGAGCCCGCCGCGCACGCGCAGGCGGCAGGGCGCGCGCCTGCCCTTGCTTCCCTCCGCCCACCAGGTGGCGCTGGCGATCCGCCGCCGCCGCCGCCGCGATCGCCGCCGCCTCTCGGAGGCCAACCCCGGGCGGCGCTCGCCGCCTTGCGGGCCTCGGGTCCGCCTCCGCCGCGCCGAGGGCGTGGGCTCCGGGCTCCCGGAAGCGGCGGCCACGGCGTGGAGCCCAGCGGGCTGTCGGTCGCCGGAGCGACCATGCGCGGCGACCCGGGGGCTGCGAGCCAAGCGCGCCGGTGAATGGCGGCTCGCTGAGACGGCGGCGGCCAGGCGCGGGCTCCTGCCGGCGTAGGGTGGCGGGGCCGGGGTGATGCTGCTCAAGCTCCTGCAGAGACAGACCTATACCTGCCTCTCCCACAGGTATGGGCTCTACGTCTGCTTCGTGGGCGTCGTTGTCACCATCGTCTCGGCTTTCCAGTTCGGAGAGGTGAGTCGCGGAGCCCGAGCCCCGCAGCCGCGTGCGCAGCCCTTTTCCCCGGCCGAGCCCCGCGCGCTGCAGGCGTCCCCCATCCTCGCTGCAGCCTGGGGACCAGCATGCAGCCCACCCGCCCCGGCCGCCGGCAGCATCTTCTCCCAGGCTCGGCTGCGGTAGCTGCACTGGGTCTCCGGGGCTTCCCGTGCTCCGGGGTGCCAGTTCCCTTCCTTCCCCGGGCTGTCCCCAAGAGCCCTCCAGTCATTTGACTTCGGCTCGCAGGCCTTGCGCCGCTGAAACTCCCTTCCAGGATATGCAGTTTGTATTTTTTTTTTCCTCTGTCGCGACCCTTCGAGCCTTGGTCCCACTTCAGACCCAGTCCTCCGGTGCCACCCTATTAATCTTTCACCTTTGGCAAAACACCTTATCTTCTTAATCCGGTTTCTTCTGGATTTCAGACTTTAAGAGGCACGTGCAGTTTTGCTTGTGAATTTTGCAGCATGAAGGGAGATTTTTTTTTCTTACCCCCCCCCCTTTTCATTTTGTGCTGTATTGAACAGCTGTGTGTCAGCAGGTGGAGGCCTTAACTAGTAAGACCGCTCACGCTGTTGGGAGGCACCAAGTACTTATCTAGATCAGCTGAGGGTAGGGTCCTCCGTCAGGTGACTAAAATTGCCGACCTTGGGCTCCCTCTTGGGGCCTCTTGGGAGCCAGCACAGGCTCTTGCGTCACGGGGCATAATAATACTTTTTAGATCAGGGCGCTAGTCTGTCTGTGGCCGAGACCTGCGCTTAGTTTATGTGCAGTAAAGCAGTTTGGTTAGATTGTAAACTATTCAAAGGGTACAGGCAACCGGTTTGGGAGGTGGGTAGCACCAGGGTAAGAGGATTTTGTGCTCCTTTGGAGACATACCTTGGACGTCTTTGGACTGAAAATAGACATTCCTCTTTGTTTTAAACTTCACAGTAATTTCATTCTTGGCAGCCTGGTATGGTACTCTATCTTCGGTGTGCACAGGGTGACGAGCGTGTGAGAAATGGGTGAGCACGTGGGTGTGATTCAAACAAAACACTGCTTCTGGAAACAGGAAGAAAAGTTGTGTTTGCGAATGGCCTTGAAATGTGTCTCCCAATTTTACGCATTCGTTTATATTTTAGTAAGAGGTTTAAAGGGTTCTAAAATGATCAGAGTGGTTTTGTAAAACGCCGCGATACACGTGCGTGCCGTCCGCAGCCACACTGGACTGTAAGGTCTGTAGAGGAGGTGGTTCTCGGCTTAAATGCGGTGACTCTAGCGGAAGCCCAGTGCCTGGCACCGCCACTGTCTGCGGACTAAGCATGTGTTTAGTGACTGGCTGAATTATATGGAATGTGGCTAGGTGTGTTTTTAGTGGTTACAGGACCAACGGGGAAAAATAGTCTTACAGGTGGGAATGCGAATATCCCAGGCTTGTAAGTGTGGGGTATTTTCTTAATATTGCACTCTCTCCTACTCTGTCTTTGTTTCATCGATAGTGTCTTACTGCTTTGGGGCGACTTTGTTTTTAAAATAGTCTCAACTAAATTGCTCCGGCTAGCCAGAAGTTTGCAGTTTTCTTGACTTAGCTCTCCCGAATGCTGAGGTCACTGGGTTATGTTTTTAACCTGGTTAATCCTGAGTGAGCGGTTTATTAACCATAGTGTAAAATACATTTGTTACAACCTTGAAGTCCCCATAAATTTTCGTTTTATTTTATTTTGAGATAATGTCTCACCATGTAGCCCGTGGCTGGCCTGGAGCTCCCTATGTAGACCAGGCTGGCCTTGCACTCACAGAGATCCACCTGCCTCTGTGTCTGGAGGTTAAAGGTATATGCCACAATGCCTGGCTTGTGGGCGCAGACCTTAAAGTGTAGGTTAAGTAAGAGAAATGAGGAGTGTTAGAAGGTCACACAACAACAGTGATTGCTGGTCCGGTGCTGTGCTCACGCAGAGCAGCGGAGAGGCTGGAGGGCTTGGTAGACTGTACCTGGATTGTTCCAGCTTTAATCATGATAATAGCGAAAGTAGTCTTTACTAGGGGCGTTCTCTTGACTGCTTTGCATACTAATTTAGTCTCCACAGTGTCACCTGATTTGGACTGTATTATTTTACCCACCTTACAGGTTACACAGCTGAGGTATTTGCAGAAGTTAACACAGCTAATTCACGGTGCAGGCCTTTAATCCCAGCACTTGGAAGAAGTTCAAGGTCACTTGGGGAGGCAGACGCACGGGGGTCTCTGTGAGTTCAAGGCCAGCCTGGTCTTTAAGAGCTAGTTCCAGGACAGGCTCCAAAGCCACAGAGAAACCCTGGGTGGTGGTGGGGGGCAGAGAGCCTCAGGTATGCAAGGAGTTGGAGGCTAACAATGTGATCTCCTCTCAAACACACAGGGTGGGGGCAGAGGCTGGAGAGCTATCTCAGCAGTTCAAAAGTGTAGGGCTCCTCTAGTAGACTGGAGTTTGGACCCCAGCACTCAAACTGAGGCTACTCACACCACCTGGAACTCCAGCTCCAGGGGATCTTCACACACTCACACACACACACACACACACTCACACAATTTTTTTTAAAAAAATACCCACATTGCCTCTAACACTAGAGGGGGAATAATGAACTCGTAATTTAACGATGATGTTTTTAACCCTTATATACATTATAATTAGTTAACAAGTGGTTGCTACATATATAATCAAAGTTCCGTTTCAAAATAATATTTCAGAGACTGAGACAAAATAATTGATAACATTGAGTGACATTAGCTATGATGGTTCAGTAATGTCACGTGCTGTCAACAGAAGGACGGGCTTCACACATTTAATTCCCACTGGCGACCCTGATAAGATATTCCCGTCTGTATTTTGAAGGGGGAGACTGAGAGGGGTTAGATTTCTTTTCCCAGATCAGATAAGTGTGGGCTGCTTGAGAAACCAAGAAGCCATTGAGACTGGGGGTGAAGTACAGGGGTAAAGCGCTTGCCTCCGATGCAGCAGGTCACAGGTTCAGTCCCCAGCAGCAGAAGGAAAGGAGGTGACCTTAATGAGATGTCTTAGGGGATGGATAAGGGCACCCTGAGATTGATCCCTGGGAACCATGGAGAGAGAAGCACAAGCACACGTGTACAGGTGACACGCGTGTACCCCACATGCACGCACATAACATAAATAAAGGAAATGAAAACTTCAGAGTTTCTCTGTAGCTTTGGAGGCTGTCCTGGAACTAGCTCTTGTAGACCAAACTGGCCTCTAACTCACAGAAATCCACCTGCCTCTGCCTCCCAAGTGACCTTGAACTTCTTTCTGTCCGCTGGCTTCAGCCACCCAAGTGCTGGGATTGTAGTTGTGCAACACCACACCCAGTATATCTAAACCAGGGCTTTTTGCCTGTTGGGCAAACACCGTAATGAGTAAGCTGTCTCCCCAACCCTGGGTTGTTGTAAGCTGTTTGAACACTGGTTCAGATTTTGAGGAAAAGTATAGTCAAAGGAGGGATCTACTAAGTAACTTGTTTTCCCCTGTAAGTCTAGCCAAGTACTTCCGGAAAACCCTTGGGAATTCTGATAAAATAGAAACACAACTGGACCCAAAGGTGGCAGTCCAGAGGGTGGGCCCTCCTAGCGGAGGTCCTGGTCTGAAGGAAATGACGGGACGTCGCCACGGTCTGCTGAAGAGGTCATTATTGTCGCTTTGAGGGAGAGTGCATCCGGAGAGGCGTCTGGAAGAGTCCAGAGCTGGGGGAGAAAGTGGTAGACTAAACAAGGCCTGTAGAGGGAACCTGCCCTGAGGGGAGGCTGGAGTGGGGGGCATGTGTGGTAGAGAGAGAGAGAGAGAGAGAGAGAGAGAGAGAGAGAGAGAGAGAGAGAGAGAGAGAGAGAGAGATGAGCTTAGGGGAGCCAGGATGCCAGCAAGGACTTTGTAAGAGGTACTTGTGCTGAGAGAACCTTGTTCGCTCACAAGCCCTGCGTTTAGCCTTTTGTCCCAAGTCTCCTTGGGACAGGGCCAGTCACTGCAGTGGCTGAGGGGAGCTGGGAAGAGCTTGTTGTAAGCCACGTGGGTCTGAGCTGAGTTCCTTCTAAGTCAGAGCACCAGACTGTCCTTAAGAGTCCTTTAAGGAATCTAGATCAGCTGTGCCCTGGGTTCAGAAATGTTTTCGTGTGCTCTGTACGGTACAACGCGACTGTGGTATTAGCGCCCAGGAGACAGGCAGGAGGGCTGAGCGTTCGAGGTTAGCCTGGGCTACATACATGGTGAGACTTTGACTCAAAGGAAAGGGGAGACTTTCTGGCTTTAGCGTTAGCGTTTGTTCTTATTACAGTTGCTGTTATGGGTCTTAAGCCGTGCTCTTGAGGTGAGATTGTATCCCAGGCCCATCCTTGATATGCACATGTACTCACCCCTTCCTGAACCTTCCACAACTACCCTTATCTTCCCGTCAAATACCCGCACTCTCTAAGGTGAAGAGCGTGAATATTTATATTCCACGGGGAAAAATTCTGCCTATAAATAGCCTCTCGCCAGTTAGTTAGGTCAGGTTCTTACCACCAAATGAGTTCAAGAGAGGTCAGTATGCCACCAAGCGAGGGACAAAAGAAAAACGGGTGTTTGTAGACTACCAGAACGTAGGTGTTTGTAGATCACCGGGACGTGGGTGTGTGTGTGCCCCTTGTCTTACTTGGGACTATATCACTTTCTTGGAACAAAACAAAATTAACTCACATAAGAAAGTCATCTCAGTTGAAGTCTGTCTGCGCCTACTGACAAGAATGCCCCCCTCACCTCCCTGTTTAGGGTCGTGTTTTTGTATTAACGAGAAGTACTCCTTTTCCATGGCAAAGAGGATTGAAAAACCGGGTTCAGCTCAAGTTGCCTCTGTGACTGGTTTCTTAACTGGTCCAGTTTCAGGAAAGAAGTGTGTGTGGCCATGTTTGTTCTTGGTCGGTGTCCTGATTAAACTGTGGGTTTCTAGTGTGTTCTTGGTCAGAGGCAAAATAAGTAGGTA